CGTCGGTGGCCCATGTACCCCAACGGGCCCCACGCCCCGCAGGAATCCCGCCGCGAAGAGCGTGCCTGGAATAAATACATAAATGAGTTATGAGTTAACACATCTCATCCCAAGGGAAAGAAGGTAAAAAGAAGGAAAACAAAAGGCAAAAAAGGGGAGAAAAGGAAGGAGAAAGAAACGCGACGCACAAAGCACACCCATCCCAAACGCCGTCCACTGCGCCGCCTGGTACGCCTCCAGCGGCGCCCCTTCCCCTGCTCGTTGATTTGTGTGCCTGTCCGCGACGGCATTGTGCACGATCGTCGTGATGGCGAGGCCGAAGGCCGTCCCGAGCTGTCGTGGTAAACACGTATTAACGGAGGGTAAAGCGAAGTAAAAGTTTGAACCACCCACCTGCGTCAGCGTCTGAAACAGCCCCCCCGCCAAACTCTGCTCCTCCCCCCTCGCGACCTTCGCCACGAACAGCGTCCCCGCGGCAAACACGAAGTCCGCGCCGAACACCGCGACGATGGGCGAGGGGAAGCCGAAGGCCCAGTACGACGCCGCGGGGCGGATGAGCGCGAGGAGGAGGGCGCCGGTGGAGGTGAGGAGGGTGCCGGATGCTGTGCGGTTTTTTAGTGTTATAGGATGGGGTATTGGTGGTATGGGGAGGCGAAAGGGGGAGTAGAGGGAAACGCACCGATGAGCACAGCGAGGTCTACCCGCCCAATAACTAGCACCACAAAAACATTACACAGGAACCCAGCGACAGTCATCGGCAACATCCGTAGCGCAGTGAACACCGGCGGCAGGCGCACGTAGTCTTCGTAGTATACCTGCGCTTCCCACATTAACATACTTTCATCCCTTGATTGAAAGCAGAAAGCGGGTTAAACACACCTGCGCCCAAAAATACCACGAAAGGAACGCCGCCCACTGCAAGAACGCGATGGCCTGCATAACGGCAAAGCGCCCCTCCGCGCGGCTCCACAGGCTTAGCTTCATCAGCGGGGGCCTTCCTTTGCTCTTGCCGTTCTCGTTCCCAATTGACATCCGTGTCTCAAGCCGATGTTGCCAGATGACGAATAGGGCAAGGAGGAGGACGGCTAGGACGAGGAGGGCGAGTATGTCTGTGGCGTCGGATAATTATCAGCTAAGCGGTATAGAGTGGAAGCAAAAAGAACAAGAAAGGAAAGAAGAGAAGAGAAAAGGAAACAAAGGGAAGGAATACTGACAAGCCGTCCTCCACCCCCTCGGCGCCGCCTGCCCCTGCCCCAACACGAACAACAGCAGAACGAGCCCCGCGGTAACGAGTCCCGCGCCGATCCAGTCTACCCTCTTGTCTTCCTCGGTGCTGGGGACGTCGGCGTCGATGGTACATATGCCGCCGAGGACGCAGAGTAAGGAGAGGCCGGCGAAGAGGAAGAAGGGGGAGCGCCATGATGCGCTGTGTAAGTTGAAGTAAAGATTGGGAAAGGAAATTGGGTTAGAATGGGGTGCGTTGAAGAGAGGAGGGAGGGAGGAAGGTCACACCGTGTATTTTGGGACAGCAAAGCTCCGATTTGAGTGCCGATTGCGCCGCCGACGGGTGCGCCGGCGGAGAAAGTGGCGAATGCGATGGAGCGCGCGCGGGACGGCGGGAAGGCGTGTGCCAGAATTCCCAACTAAAACACGAATAACGAATGAGAATGCAGACTCCAGATATGTGACCAGAACGCGGACGCACACACGCAGGGATAAACGCCGCAGGTCCGATCCCTTGCAGCCCGCGGAGGATGTAGAGCGTGGTCGAGTTCTGCACGAAGCCGCAGCCGAGGGAGAATACGCCGAGCCAGACGGTACCCAGTAAGAAAAACGTTTTGCGCCCGAAGAGGTCTGCGAGGCGGCCCAGGGGGAGGAGGAGGCAGCCCTGGAATATGAATCCCGGATTTATTACTGCATGAGTGAAGAAGGGAAAGGGGAGAGGACGCACGGAGGATAGGGAGAACGAGGAGACGATCCACTGGAGCTGCGCTTCTGGGATGTTGAGGTCTTGCCCGATTACAGGGAGGAATATCGAGACTGCTGCTCCGGACGCAAGCTGGGAGACGAGTATCGGTCAGGGGCGTCGAAATAAATTACGGTAGTAAGTCGGGCGCACATTAGTGATCATGGCGAGGGTGCAGGTGGCGACTATGAGTACGGATTGCCATGCTGGCCTAGCAGCGGCGGGCAGAGGTTCAGCCGCGCTGGAGGCTGTTTCATTCGTATTGTCTTCATCCTTAGAAATGTCTGTCCCGGCCATCCTGCGTTGATCCTGCGTGCCCGCCAAATCAGCTGGGGAAGGCGGAAGGCGTTCGTGAGGAGGTAAGGCACAGATCACAAGTGAGCGTCTCCCATGACCGCGACGCCCATCGAAAGAAGCCCTTCCATTCCGGCGCCAAAAAGCAGGGATGATGGTGGTGTGGGAAGGAGAAAGATAACCGAACCGCTATTTGGCTCTGTTTACCGTATGTTCACATCTTTTGATGCCATCTCATGCCCACACGCCCACGCCTCCGCAGCCTTGCCGCAGTAGGCTTTCGTGACTCCTTTGGACAACCTTTGGACCTTGCTGAATCTTACGCCGCCAGAAGCTGTTACCGCGAGATCTCGCGCTTTAGTTTCGTCATCGTCGCCTACACGCGAGTTCCCATCCATCCGCGCGCCACCAGTGGTGTCTGTTTCATTCACTCATCGCCCCCAATGATAGTCGCCATCGCCGGCGCCAGCAGCGGCGTGGGCCGCTGCATCGCAGAATCCATCCTCAAAGACGGTCGGCACACCCTCATCGTCCTCAGCCGCACGGCCCGCAGCCTCGGGCTCTCCGGCGCCACCATCACCGCCGTCTCGTACGACTCCCAGGAATCCCTCGTCGCCGCGCTCAAGGGCGTGCACACCGTCATCAGCGCAATCGGCGACCACGCGCGCTCCGCCAGCGCCCAACTCGCGCTCGTGAACGCCGCCCGTGAGGCGCGCGTCACGCGCTTCGTGCCGAGCGGGTGGTCCGGCACGGACGGCGGGCCCGAGGACGTCGTGGCGCTCTACCGCTTCAAGCAGCCCGTCCTCGACGCGCTCCGTGCGAGCGGCATGCAGTGGAGCCACCCCGAGACCGGCGTTTTCCTCAACTACCTCGCGAGCGGGAGCGCGAAGAAGGGGAGCACCGCGAGTCTGAAGCAACTGAAGTTCTTCATCGATGTGGAGAATTGCACGGCGACGATCCCGGGGGACGGGAATATGAAGATCGCGTATACGGCGGTGGAGGATGTGGGCGCGTTTGTGGCGAAGGCGTTGAGTGTGGAGGGGCCGTGGCCGGAGACGCTGCGGATTGTGGGCGCGAGTGTTACGCATAACGAGTTGGTTAAGATTGTTGAGGAGGTTCGAGGTACGCTCTGATTCTTCCTTGTTCTGTCCCTTATATTCATCGATTTACATTTCGCGCAGGCAACCCCATCACCGTCACCTACCAATCGCGCGCCGACCTCACCGCCGCCCTCGTCCCCAACCCGCCCTCCCTCTACGTCAACATGGCCACGCAGCTCAGCCTCGCGCTCCTCGACGGCCGCTTCTCCTTCGAGGGCAACTTCAACGACCAGGTGCAGCATGAGTTCGTACAGCCCGTGGAGTTTGTACGGACGTGGTGGGGGGACGAATAGGGGATTTGTGTAGTCGGTGTATTGTGTTGAATGGTATTGGTTTGAATGTTGAACTTGGTTCTCATCGCATGAATCCTGAGGGCATTATTCCTAATAATGGATCGACTCACGTCTTCCTCTTGGCACGTAGATACATTATTGCTCTGTAGCGGATGGTCCGCAGCTGCAACATTTACGTCTGTACTCGTCTAATTTCGCAGCCGACGCCTGTTCGATTCAGGTCAGAGCCATGAGGGCAACGGCGAGGGTTTTTTTCTTCTGCTCAATGCTCAGCGCTCAGCGCTCAATCTGTCGTGTTCGAACTCCGTCCGATCTGCTCTTTGAATTTGCCTCACTGAACGCGCGCATCCTGGATCCAACTTTGACGTCTCCTTCGAATGGTGATGCGGTATTTTCAAGGCCGAATTGGCTCTTTAAATCGTAGATGCGTAGAGACTCCGTCGCGGATGGTCCGCGGTCGTAGAAAATATCGCAGTAAAATGAATGTCTACGCAGTCGATGCCTGTTCGATTCGGGCCGGAGCCATAGTGGAGACATGACGGAATTCTTTAATTTTTTAGCTGCTCGGTTCTCGGATCATTGTGTTGTCACTCGGTGCCCAGGTGGAGTGCCCGATCTCCGAATTCGCCTCACGCGCGCGCCGTTAAATCGACTAATTCCCGAATTTTCAACAGTGGAGTGGCTCTTCCCATCCTCTCTTTATATCTAAGGCCTTTAGAAACTCCGTCGCGGATGGTCCGCAACTGTCGCCTATGTCTTCAAAACTCCAGATCTATGCAGTTGATGCCTGTTCGATTCAGGTCGGAGCCGTACCCAGACGTCATACCGCTTTTCTCGAAGTTTTTTGGCTCTGACTTGTCGCCGCCGGCCTAGCTTAAATCCAAGCAAGACACGGTTTCGCATTGGTTTCGCAGCACTGCTCATCTATTATTATTATTTTACGTGCACGTCGTTAACTTACTCTGTGGCGAACAAGTTCAACAGACTCACACCCTACTTATTCGTCATTTTCGGCACGGATCCTCTATGGTTCCCCTCAATCCTCAACGGCTCCGCAGCGGATGGTCCGCAGCTACAGAAAATATGGGTCTGGATTATGTTCTACGCAGTCGATGCCTGTTCGATTCAGGCCGGAGCCATAGTCGCTTGAGATTATTGTTTCATTACTCCGCGACCTGCTGTCCAACTCGTTTGAAACATGGATTATTGGGATCTCCCTCACCTTTCTAAACCGTCAAGCAAAGCTCAACTCGCCAAAAGAGAAGAACATGGGTAGAGGCAGGAGTTGAACACTGTTTGTGCAGACTGTATCGACTGTCTATTTCCTCTCGAAAGCTGGTCCATAAAGACTCCGTCGCGGATGGTTCGCAACTGCCGGATATCTTCAGGAAATCTTCAATCTATGCAGTCGGTGCCTGTTCGATTCAGGCCGGAGTCATTAGCCAGTGCTCGTCCATCTCTTTATTATTGCTTCTTAAAACTGGCTCTGGTACGTATGTCGAGATGCACCCCATTGAACGCGCGCATGTACATTCTGAAATCATTCCCAATAATTTAAATAAATGGATATCCTCCCCTCCTCAAACCGCTTCGGCAAACTAAGCAGTTAATATGGTCAGAACTCCCTGAGAAAGAAGTAGCTGCCTCGCATACCTTCATCTCCCCAATAGTGGTATCCGTTCCGTGGCCAGTGGTGATCATGCCGTCGGAATGCACAGTGGTATCGGTTAGGTCTGGGTTACGCGCCGCACGGAACTATCGGAAGGTTCTAAGAATCTAACTGCGTGCAAGGGAAGAAGAAAAGGAGGGCGCACCTTGTACGAGTTGGCAGGGTTGCCACCGGTCGTAGCTGTACCCATGCTTCCCAGGGAGAATGTGTTGACCTCTTTGGAGCCGTTGCGGATTGTGTCGCGGAAGTTGAGTGTCGCGAGGAGAGAGTTGGTGTATAATTTCCCCACGACGAGGTTGAACGCGATGTGGATCAGGTTCTTAGGCATGGTAAGGAACTGGTCAAATCAAAACAAATTCAACCCTCAGTATCGGAGTGAAGGCAAGGGAGTAACGTAGACTTACGCAGATCATGTCGATCAAGACGATGATGCTGGGGGCGGAATTTAGACATGATCAAGAGAAGAGAGGAGGAGACGTACGCAGTCAACAATCCCGTGTTCATCGCATACAGGATGAGCCGGTTCACCATCGTGTCTGTCCTTAATTCCAATCATATTTCAGCATATCCCCGCCCAAAGGATGAATGGGGAGGAGGGACTGACGTTCTGATTCCCGTGCGGCTCCGGAGCAGGTAAAAGCACAGAGAGGCGGCGATGATCAGGTCCGCGGCGGCGGCGCAGGCGAGGCCGACGCTCGCGATCCACTGTCACCCTTCATTGAGTACGCGAGATCCAAGGAGGGAATAAGAGAGGAAGCGGCGGACCTGGAATTCGAAGAACAGGGAGATCTTCTTTAGTTGGAATGTCCGGACTTGCACGGCTGGACCAAAGGTTTAGTCCTCCGCGATCAGCTTTGACGGAACAGCTTACCCGACTCGAATCCTTAGATCCTTCAGCAAGGTTTATTGCACCATGTAAAAAAATGTGGAACATACCGAAATAGGTGAAGGACAAGATGACGATGATCCCGGTGAGGAGCTTGTTCTTGTTGCTCACTATGTTCACGCGAATCAGAGGGTGAAAAACTCGGACAAGATGGGACTTGCGTATGTATACGCGACGGGCGAGGAACCTGCGGGGTATCCGGCGTCAGCCGTCGTACGGAGTTAACCGGATGAGGACGGCATACAGTTCGACTATCAGCACAATAAAATTCTTCAACAATACTTCAGTATGCGGGTTTTCAAGTAAGTTGAGGCATGGGACGCACGGTGACAAGGATGCCGATCTGAGACCACAGTAAATCAGTTGTTCAAGCAAGTTCCCAGCTCTGAAAAAGTTTGGCGTACATTGAAACTCCTGCAGAGACAGTTCGGTAAATTCATAGAACAAAGTTTTAAAATCCTCACCAGACAGACACGGCCAGGACTTCGGGGTTTGCATAGTTAGTGATGACCCAGTAGTATAGAACATGGCCAATCAGAATGAGCTGGAGTGTGTCCAGCGCCCTATATGATCAGTGAATCCCCGGCGTATTCGGATTTTCGATGAAGACTCACCAAAGGAATGCGACCTAAATTATAATCAGTATTGGAACCGCGGAAAATACAAGACATACCAAGCTCTTCAGCCACACAGTATCCTTGACGAACTTCTGGAAGTAGGTGAAAGATTGCATCGACATCACCCCGAAGAGCCTAGTTCTTCGTCAGCATCCGCGCCCACTGTTCGGCGAAAAAAGACGCACCCCCAGGCGAGCACATACGCAACACAGAGCGCACCGAGTGTCGTGTCGAATTCGCCCATGGTGGGCTACACAATGAAAGGAATGGACGCGGAAGCAGAATACGGAGCTCTCGTCCCGGTTATGTATTCCGTGAAATCGGGGGCCTTCCACGCCTGTCGAGCGCATGAAGGCGGATAAGAGGTGTTTGATCCGAGGACGGTTTCAACAACGATCAGTTGAAAAGTCGTTCGCTAATGTCTCGAAGCACGGGACCAGCTGCTGGACATGGTGGAGGCTGGAGGCGTGCGAATTAGCCACTTCGGATTCGTATGGGTCTTCCGATTCAGCGGGAGAGCAGGGGCAGCTGATGGTACGGTCCATGAGCTTCGAATCAAGAGTTGAACTATCAGTGTTGACTGAGGCGAGAGCTCGCTTGCCCTCACTAACCATTTGCGGTCAACGCTCGGGAGCAACTTGGGAGCATGGAGGCAGATATAAATATATAACCTGCGACGCCACGGACCCTAATATGTTTACATTTCTGGGAGAGATTGAGGACCAAGAAGGTGATGGCAAACTTGGATGGTTGCAATCTCCTTCTCGACTCATTGCATGCGCCAGATTAAATACAGTGAGGCACAAGAATTCATGAGAGGACTTGGCTACTATCTGATCCTCTGTACAGAAAATAGCTCGGGATAAAGTAACACCCTCTCGACTCAGTACTACATAGGAACGATCATATCATTGAGGATCTTCCTTCGATACGGAAAAGGCTTAATGGTATGTTATTGATTGCCACGCATGGTACGACTCCTATCAAGGGACACGGAGATCCTGGGAGATCCATATTCGTAGAAGTGAGGCACTATCAGATGCTGATATTTGCTTGAGATGGCGATACTGGTCTCCACTTCATAGTGACTCCCACAACTTGAACTGCGAGCCAGATATTGTTGGAACACGGCAATAGATGCGGTGTTCGCTACCTTGCGGCGTCGAGTGAACCAAACTGGGGTATTCGGATAGAGACAGCTACCCCACCAAGTGGATATTGAGCGCCGGCTTGATAAAAATCGACGCCGAAAAGGCTTGACTCCATTTGGAACTTACAGGGCAAGGTTAAATTCTATTGACGCGCGCTTGTGGTCGCATGACGACACCGTTCGTTCTTCAGCGCGCCCGTAGATCGCCGTCCCGTAATCTAGTCGTGTATGGAGGCCTGTTTAGGATTTTAAACGTTTGCGAGTTGAATTTATTTACGCGCGTTCATGGTATAACATAGTCTCAACATGCGCCGTACTCCGCGGCGTGATACTCACCGGGAATGGCCTTGGTTTGCTGTTCGGCGTCCGTCAATGAGCTGGAATAACCATGTCCGTTGGGGTGCGGGCTTACGAAGTCATGCCCGAGGTACAATTCCCGGGGTCTACAGGCAAGTCGTTCCCTGCGGAATCTTTGCGCGGCGCAATGTTGAATGCCCACAGGATACGTACTACCGCGATCCAGATTGTTTTGGCTGCTAGATATTGCCCCGGGCATTTTCGGCTACATAGCGTGCGGTCAGTTCGACCTCAGGGACAAGCAAGGAAGAAAGAGAACGAACCGGCCAAAGCCAAACCCATAATGTCCTTCTGTGAGTGATTCGGCGCCGCTTCCCTTGCCCATGAACCGCTCCGGGTCGAAGGTATATGAGTTCGGGAATTCAGCTTCGTTGTGGTGCTGCGGTATGGTTCAAAATCGCATTGATTATGCAACGGGTTTGAGCGGAGGTTAGCGACTAACCATGTTCCAAATGCACGGAATGACCATGGTTCCCTTCCGAATAACATGCCCTTGATATTCGTCGTCCGCGTCCGAGGTATGTGGGAACCCGCCTGGTGCCGCGGGCGCCCATCTGAAACGCCAATCAACATTCGAACCGGGCCAAAGCGCAATACAAAAGGGAAAGAAAAACAAACCTGAACACCTCCTTGACGAGCGCGGAGCAATACGGCAGGTCACCCATCCGGGCGAAGCCAGGGACTGCTTCCGCTTGGAATATAGTGTCAATCTCCGCTTGCGCTTTGCGCATGGCGGCAGGGTAGAGGACCATGGCCATGATGAACCAGAGGACGGTTCCAGTGGTCGTGTCTGTGCCTGCTTCGAAGGCTGAGCCGGCGACTGGGGTGGAAATTAGTCAGTTCACTCGGCACGGTTGAATAAGAATAGGGATGAAGGCCCACTATACGACAGTTCCTCAGGCGTGAGGTTCATTTTCTCTTGTTGCTCCCACAAACGCGCGGCAAAACATTCCATGCCGAGGTCCTGCTCCATGCGCGCTTTCACCTCGGCCGAGAGCCGGGTGTACAGCTGCAGAGTTGATTTTAGTTGAACATCACTCCAGCAACCGCCAATCCGCTTACCGCAACCTCCTTTGTGTGTTTCCGTCTCGCCTCCTCCCGCCACGGCGCCAAAAAGTCAGGCAGCTGGTCGAAAATCGGAAAAGTGTCGACGAGGTGGGCGCCGGGGTAGGTATCGCGCACAAAGTTATCGAGGATGGATTGGACGGCTGCGAGGTCTTGCCCGTCGTCATTCAGTCGTTGGCCATAACTGAGTGTAAACACGAGAGAGGCCGCAAAGCGCTGCGCGTGGTGCGCCCAGTCTTCCGGCGTTGATACAAGATCTGCCAGCAGTCGTATTGACTCTGTTTCTTGCATTTCTTCATACGCGCCAACGACTTGAAAAGAAGACCCAGTCACGTTTTGGCGCGCAGTACCGGTATGAAATAGCACAGACCTCGGGGCTGGAGCATCTGGTGAAATGCGGCGCGTTGTCGCTTGAGGACCTCGCCATATGGTAGCAGCACGAGCCGTTGGTTGTTCGACTGATATTTGCCCGCATACACGAGCGGTCTCCGTGACGAGTAATTGTGTGAGCGACGGCCAAGCTGTGTGCGGTTAGTAGGTATGCTCTATCAATCATGCGGCTCGACTTGCAAGCTCTTCAGCGTCGGCGGGCTCGCTTAGGACGATGATATCGTCTCCTGCGAGACTCAGTTTTACCACCGGCCCTGAAATCGAGAGATCAAGTCATCTATCTGGAGAAAATGGGAAGACACAC